GTTTTTTTTTTTCATTTTTGCGCGAAGCACCTACACCACCTTTGCACACAGTGGGCTTCATTGGAAGACCGGCCTCTGATAGCCACATCTCTTCTTGCCGCGAACATAATTTGCTCTTGTATTATACACATTACTCTTCATATAAGGGTGTGGACTGTGAAAACTCTATCCATTATATTACCCCTCCACACAGTTGACCTCATTGGAAGCCACGCCATCTTTCTGTCGCGAAAATAATTTAATTATTGCGTTCTATTGTGCATATTGCGCACACTATACTCCATGACAAGGATAGGGGCTGTGAAAATTTTATTCTCAGTCAGGGCACGCCGGCTTCCGCAGCGAGGGAGGTCGTGTTAGGTTGGTGGAGAGCAGGAGGTCGTATTTGCCGCTAGAAGGAATGTTTTCTACTGTTCACTTTTCTCGATTTTCATGTTTCAGTGCGCTATACACCCTCTCCACCCTTCCAGCTCGGTAGCCGGGTGGGTGGGGGGGGGGGTGAAGTGGGGGAAATTTTTGAAAAAAAAACTCGGGAAGTGTGAAGAATATGGAAGACTTGAAGACGATGGTAGGTAGGGTTTCGGATGGGGAGCAGATCGAATCAGAGGTGGAAACATCGAGGAGGGGGTGGCTTTTGCAGAAATTTCTCCACTACAGCAGCATGTGACCCTATCCTCAATATGAAGAACTCATTCTCCTATCCCACGATACGACCCTCAATGTCCACAAGGAATATTGAACCACATCAAACAAACAGGCCAAAGACGGCCCTTTTCCCCCAACAAAGAAGTACAACCGCTTCGAGGATTCCTGGACAGACCCTTAATCCTGCTCGCGAACTCTAATATTCGGTGGCACTCTAGAACTTTGCGCAAAAGCACAATCATGGATTATTTTGTTTCGTTCGGTATGTTATTCGCTGGATTTCTCGTTGCAAAAGTGAGAATACCTCCCCAGTACCAACGTATTTGTGGGGGGGGGGGTAGCATATTCCTCCTCCCAACCACCTTAGCGCCTGCCTTTCTTCAGTCTCATTTCTAGCTGATGTATCGTGACAGCATCTTGTTAGGCCTGGGGATTTCAAAGGAGAACTAAAAACAGTATAAATCACAGACCAGGGTCAAGTGTACGTTGCAGAACTCAGGTGATGCCAACAGTGAAGCAAGTTTGTTCTTTTCTTACAATCGATTCGCGACAATGGCAAACTATACACATTCATACTTTGCGATCTGTGGGGATCCGCGGGTTAGGAGAATGGGCAACAAAACCTTGTGTGGGAATAGACTGACTCCTATTTACATATCCTGAGAATCCGCATTTCGGGGAATTAGTGAAAATCGCTAAAGGGTGAAACCAGTTCGATTTGTTCTTCATCCGTTGTGCCTCTTCTGAATAGCTTCTACATGCGGTTTCTTCCTGTTTTGGGAGTATAAACACGGCTTAAGAAGGGAAACTGTAGAAGCGCTAAATTTAACTCCAATTGGTTGATTGTTGCTCGCCTAACCACGGAAGCCACGTTATGCGGGTTTCAAGAATTGGCGATTGCTTTGGGAGGAGTAGTGTCTTCACCGTGTGTTTCAGACGAAGAACACTTTTGATCTTATGAAGAAGGATTTGGCCGAGTTTGGTGATGCCATGACCCAGGAAGTTGCCGACCTCACCTCTGCGGCGAAAGGAGGTCAGTCTCTGCCTTATAGCGCGTTCATGCTTCGCGATTGGGTCGTGGGTATCGTGCGATCGTATCGCTCGAGCGGCTGGATTGCAGAATGAAGGCGCTCCCATCTTTTTCGTTCATACGACGTATTGCTATAGTAAAGTTCAGGTCTTGACACAGCTACGACCGTCATTAAAGAGCAGGCACAATATCTGGAGAAGTTAGTAACGCCTGACGAAGAGGAGAAGCCTGTTGTTGTCGAAGAAGAAAAGATGGCTGAACCTGAGACAGAAAAGTCGACCGATTCTGTTCCGAAATCGCAATCGTATGAGAGTTCATTGGCTGCCAAAGTGGGTTTCATAGAAGCCATTACATAATGTCTCCCTATGTGCCTCGGGAGGGGCCAATCTGCAGTTTTGTATCAGTGCCATAGTGGTCTGCATTTTTCAAGGGTGGATGATAGGGGCAGCTCTGGGATGGGTAAGTCTCTTATCATATGAATGAAACTGGTACGCTAGGTGGCTAACGCAGCACCGGAGCTCGTTCACCTCTAAAATGGCAAGCTGCTATACTGGAGCTAACGCAGATTTTGCGAAAGAAGCCCCTCACGAGGCACATGGTCCCATAACGCCAGTGGTCCCAACATTCTTGAGCTGTGCAACTTTCGTTTACTACTATCCTGAGCGTTACTTCAGTAAGAAGTGAGGTTTTGGTATGAAATGCGTTCGGGGAAGAGAGGAAATGTGAATGTGAAAAACTATGAAGATTTTGTTTAAGCCTGAAGGGGAAGAGTTCAGTTGGGGTGTCAAACAGTTCTTTCGTCTCGGGGCTCGTTGGGCTGTTCTGCAAAATACTCATGCTTGTTACAGCTCATTATTCCTTTCATTTGCATTATAATCTCTTGAAATTGACCAATTGTAGGCAGTTCCAAGATCCTTGCGCATTTTGATAGTATCCGTGAGTTACTGCACTTTTCAGGTTGAAAAAGGCGCGGCTTTGGGATTAGGATGGGTAAAATCCGTTGTGGACACCGTCACCGATACTGTTAAAAGCTTGGCCTGTAGAAGAAACTACTGGTGGAGAAGAAGAGATAACTGAAGTCATTCGACCGAGGATCTACCGCAAAACTATTTTGCCACCAGTGAGTTGATTCGGATGAAATATAAATCTCCCAAGCCATTGATGAAGCGTTCATAGTTAGCGAATATGGAGGATCGGCAGACTAGGAGTATGCGCGAAAAGGAAATTATAAGCATCTCCTTGTCGAACTCGCGATTCCGGAGATGGCGGGAAGGGGGCTAGATGGGAATCCGCTATTTCCGTCCACTTGCATTCTCGGAGAAGTTGTGACTTGAAGTCGATTAGTCTTCATCCATTGTTGCTGGTTACATTAGCAAAGTATGGACGTGACTCTAACGTGGCTCAATACTAGTTCGCCTCCTCATCTGTCTTTCCCTTTACTTCAATATAATTTTTACAGGAAAAATTATTGGAATTGCAATCAAATGAAGACACTTTCTGTAAAGAACCGGAGAATTCTGAGGGATATTCGAAATGGGTAGCTCGATTCAATATTGAAGAATATGATGCCGAAATCAATGTGCTTCTTGCAAATAATCCAACGTTAAGGGAAATTTACTCTAAGCTGGTATGTTTTAGGTAGATTGGTTTGTCTTCATTCGATTCTTATCATCTCAGCGGTGTGACATGCCATGTATAGGCTAATGACGAGTTTGGGCTGGGTGGGGGCATTTCAGACTTTCGCTGTTCCTTTTGTAGCTTCATGTTAAATAACAGGTATCACTTGGGTCAGGCCTGTAAACTCTTGTGAAGGTTAAAAATCGCTCGAATGATTCACTTTGGTAACAGGAGTTTACAACTGTTCACGGGCTGGCGCTATAACCCCTTTACTGCTCCAGTCATCCGGAATTCGGGCCAGTTTTTGACCGACTTTTTTCTCCGTGGACAGATTTGACTCAAATATTGTCTCCTAAGGTAGTTTTACCTCCTGAATACGAATATCATATTTGCTTGACTCGAAACCTGCTGGCGAACGCGCCCCAAGCTCCGGTGATTTGTGGTTTTTGGGCGCATACGTCTGTTGCGCGAGCGCCAGAAGGTTTCGTGCCAAACGGAGGCGATATTCATATTCAGAAGGTCAGATTACCTTAGGAGACAAGGTTTTCGGACAATTTCGCTCACGGAGAAAAATGTCGGTCAAGAACTCCGGATTTCGGATGGTTGGGGCAGCAGTGGGTAAATAGTGCCCACGGGCTTGTACAAGCTTAGCTGGATACCACTGGGAGCTCCCCTTGAGCCGAACCGTGCCCCTTTCATTATTTTTAGTGACGTCTTACTTGACGTCAGTGGAGTGTCTATTTCTAACAGCTAACGTACATACGGAACCGCTTACCTGTGCTACATCAGCGCTTCTACTTTATTTTAAAGAATCTTCTTCATAGGTAATTGGATAATTCAAGGGTAATTTGCTACATTACGATGTCTTGAGGTTCCTTCGGAAAGTAGACAGCGAAGTTTTCTGGTCACGATACTTCTTCGCTGTAGAGATCGCTGAAATGGACGAGGAGCTGCGTAATTCATTCTCATTGAAAGAACTAACGATCAAGACTGGTGCTGATGGAAAGAAGCAGAAGAAAGGTATTACTCAAAAAAGTGTCGCTTATGAAAACTCGAAATAACGCAGTAGGATTGCCCAATAGGTGAGCTTTTTTTGGTCAGGGATCGAGGTGGACAGGACCAGAGCCGTGAAAGTATAGCATTCTCCCGTTTGAATTGCTCGCAAGGGAATTAAGCGATTGGGTAGCTTGGTCATCCTCACCGCCCTATGCTCGATACGCGATATTCACGCCACAATCACGTCACACCGTGAGGCCATAGGTATCGTTAAGCGTATAGCTGACCGTATGGCGTATGTCTATTTAGTGCCTAGTTAGTTGCGTACGGAATAGAGGGCGGAGATAGAATGGGCGCCGTGCTTACAAATGCCTCTAACCTGTTTATCGTTCAGTTCCAAACGACAGGACGTAATCGGCCCACTCTCAGGTACTCGTGCAATGTGTGGATAAATGATAAGCTGTTTTTTGTTTGGGCGCATTAGTGGAAGGGAAGGGGCAATCGGCCTCACCTCTGGGTTGTCTTTCCTAGTCAAGGCTTTCTTTAGAACACAGATGACCGGAAGACAGCCTCACTATGAAAGCATTATTTTCTTAGAACCTAAACAGGTACAGGAATTTCTTCCCTTTTTCTGTTTAGGTTCGTGAAAATAATGCCATCAATCAGTCTCTCCTACAGTCCGATCTAAAAGCAGACTAGTTCAAACGACCTTGTTTGGCGCAGTCAAAAATATCGGGGCACGTGCCCTGAATGCGAAAACTTTTTATGTAAAATCTTCACTTGGCCCTCAGAACTTCCTTCTTTTGTACAGACCCCTCCTATACCACCGATCCTTTCTACTACCTACCTAATTCATCCTCACTTCTCCGGAACCCTTTCCAGAAATGCCTCCGCTTTTCCACTGGAAACTGCAGTCAGACAAAGGGAGGGGAGGGGAGGGGGGAGTATAGGCGCCTGAAACAGGAAAATAAGCGCAAAGTCAAAATGAAAATATTTCTTTTCGGAACACGCGAAGTTCTACCCTTCTCCAGCTGCCAAGTAAGACCCCTCTCCCCTCGCTGGAAATCTCCAACGAAGGCGTGCGCTGTTGAAAATACATTGAATTTCATTCCTCCCACCAGCAGTAGTAACCTTGTATCTGATCTTATAACTTTATTGATTAGGAATTGCGTTTTTAGGTTCAGGAAAAGAAGGAGGAGATTCGCCAGGATCGGATGGATCAATTGCTGTCGTTGACCAACAACCCACAAGCCCTGCTGCTTCCGCGGATGACTGGAGTGTGTGCAGCGAGAAGAATTACGTCGAGGTGAAGAAATTTTTGAATATTTCGTTTTCCGCTTAGAATCCACTCCCAGGCACATACATGTGCCGGTCTGTTGAACGAAAGTGGATACATTTGTCGGGACGGTAAACAGCTGATGAAATCCGATTCTCAAAAGCGCATTCGGTTTCCTCTAGATCTGTCATAAATATGAGGAGATTGTGGCTTTTACCGAGTAAGCATACGCCATATCATCTTTCTTGCTTTGTCTTTTAGTAACTCCTTGCCAGTGGTTTATTTTTCATAACTGTGTCATTTCATTTCATTTCAAGCCTTCGAATGGTGGACGGGTGAGACTTTTCTAGCTTGCCTCCTACTTATGTTGTGCTTTGCACTTGGTTTATCACCTAACTAATGCTATTTGGGGCGCTGATGCGTTGAAGACACGCTGTGCTTTCACATGCGACATAGATCCTTTTGTTTGGCAGGTAAACGCAGATCTGTAAATGCGAAGTAATGCCGCTTTGTTCCCCACGAAATGTGTGGAAATGTGAAGCTGAAGGGTAAAGAGAATAAGCTTGGAATGTTATATTACAAGATCTCACGATCAGCGAAAGACCAAGAGGTAACGCAAAACGCTATAGTGGGCGTGTTGCCATCATGTTCGCTGCAGGACCTGAATGACAACGTCTTGCATTGATTGTGTTAACACGCTGGCCAAATATGCAACCAAAAAATAGCAGATAGCGCAGCAGTTCTTCGGTTGCATACGCTCCTTCCAAACGTGAGGGGGTACAGGGAAGTGCACATGGCTGGTCTAGACGTATGGGCGCTCATGCGGCGTGTTGCGTGGGGCGTAGTGTGATGTAGGCGGAGTTGTAGAAGAACGGTCGTGCGAAACGTTGCGTTAGGCTCGCATGGGGTGCGGGAACGGGGAATTGCAGAAGATTGTTCGCGCGGCGTCTTGCGTTGTGGCGTGATGTGCGAGAGGGTTGCGAAGAACAGTCGCGCAGCATGTTGCGTTTGGCGTGGCGCGATCTGGGGGACGAGGAGTTACAAAGGATTGTTCGCGCGGCGTCTTGCGTGTGGCGTGGCAAGATGTGCGAGAGAGTTGCGAAGATTGGTTCCGCAGCGTAGTGCGTATGGCGTGTTAAAGAACATTCAGCCATCCCTACTCTTCAACTTCATTCTTCATGCATTCTTAGAAAGAGGCGCTCTCGTAGCTGCAGACATGTATACCAAACATGGGAAGGACACATCTCACGGGTGAATGTACAGCGTGTCTTCAAGCTACGTTTATACTTCGCGAATGTGGAAAAATCCGCGATACGTGGCCGAGAGGGTACGCCTGTCGATCTGGAGATCAGCGATTCGAGAGAAGACGCGAGTCAGGGAAAGCACGATTCATTAGTCGG